TCTTCCCACAGCATACTATTGTATTGAAGTACCTCCTTCAAGTTAGAGTGGTCCTGTAGCCTAGTTTCAAGCAAAGCTAAAATGCAAGGGTTATGGACCTAATGATTTCCTTAAGATTTCTCGTAAAGGAGTCGTTATGAGCACCACGGATGTTTCAAATTATTGTTAAATATTTACTCTACTTTTAGATTAAATAAAAATATTATACAATAATATCAATCCAATACTACTACGAATGTCATTAATATTTTTAACTTATATATAATTAATATTTGGTCTCACTAAAATTCAATGATGCAATTTTTTATTTTATTTAAAAGATACAAAGCATTAAAATTAAAAGGCTAGTTATTTATCCGATAGAAAAATAACTATGTAATTAATATTATTTATATTAAATTGTGTATTATTGAATAAGTCGAGCATTATATTTAAGTATAGAAAATTTTGATTATATACATTATAATGTGAAGTTTAATTACCCCCTCATTGATAGAATTATATTAAATAAAAAATAAATAAATTTTACTTGTATATTCAATTGATATTGTTTTATAAGCATTAAAAATGATATAATTTCTCTATATATAGTAAGTTATTAAATGATATTTATTTACAAATATATAATTAAGTATGTTAAAATATAACTATTAAAAGATGAATTAAAATTTAAAATACTACAAATACCTAATAAGTTATACTATCAATTATTGATCATAACTTTCTTGCACTTTAAACTTATAAATTTATTTATATTTTCAATTATTTATTTATAAAAATTGTATGTATAATTCAAATTTTGTCTATGTTTTATATGCTTAGTTATGGACATTATCTTATAGGAAGGGTAAGCATAAAATTTTCATGATATGTTGTGTGGTAGCGATTTAATTTAAATATATAAATAGTTTAGGGGTGTGTTTGGTCCAATTTTCTCATGTTTGGTTGGGTAAAATATTTTGGAAAATGTTTTCCAAATCAACTCATTTTCCTCAAATTTAAGGAAAATGACTTCCCTTCGAAAATTGAGGAAAACATTTTCCAAAACTCTCCTCCAACTTCAAATTACAATTTTTTTTTAAAAATCAATTTTTTTTTGTTTAAAAAAATAAATTTAAAGCTTTTTTTAAAAAAATATTTTCAACATCAATTTTTAATTTTTTTTACCCCACCCTCACCCCTACCCCCTCCCCTCCCAAAAAAATATTAAAAGTT